GTAGGGAGTTTTTAAGGAAATAGTGCAGTGGGCAGAAAGGAAATGGAAAAGGTAAAGATATGATTTGTGAAACAGCAAAGAAGAAACTGATGAAACTCCAGTCTTCCCTTCCATAAATTTTGAGATGAAAATGATGAGTAAATATTTCCTTCGAGTGCAGCTGCCAGTGGTTAATATGAAAATCAAGATTAGTGGAATTTTGAGACTGTCACACAAACACACAAAAGACAGATAGCATAAACAGTGCAGGTTTAATGTACAATTAGGTATCACAGTGTTCATTTGTTCCATCGTTGTCTGGTTGTCCTGCATGCCAGTAGACAAAACTCACTGCACACCCATTAGACAACATCCATCTGCCTTCTTTATGGAGGTCACTCAGTCCAATCCAGTTGTATCGCTCAGCATGGTCAAAGGGATATTAGCTTTCATTGCTGGATTGTTGTGTGACTCGGATTGCCTGGATCCGTCCCTGTTTACCCTGAGAGGATTCCTTGTCATGAGCAGAGATGGGCAGTAACGCTGCTCATCTCAGTAACTCAGTAACAGTAACGCGTTACGCGTTACTGTAATCCGATTACTTTTTTCAAGTAACAAGTAAAGTAAGGGATTACTATTGCAAAAACGGTAATTAGATTACCGTTACTTTCCCATAGGAACACTGCGTTACTGCGTTACTAAAACCGTGATTTTTTTGCGAGAATGTCTCATGACAGTGATGTAAGCAAGTGCGACGTTTGTGACAACAGCTGTGTGCAGATCAACAATGGATCATATATCGAGTACGGGAGAGAGTATGAGCGTGCAGCGTTTAAAGCGCGGAAGTACTGACCTTACTTTAAGTTTGATTCCATAAAAAGTGACAAAAACATTAGCGTCCATCGTGCGTGGGAAGAAAACTTCTTTTTAGAGCGAAAAAAAACCCCCTAAACTTCCAAGTAAGCAGCTACGACGTAATGAGAAACTCACAGAGAAACTCGCGGATTCTTCCACTGACCGCTGCAGCACACCTGCACCAGGGTAAACCTCCGCCTACCCCACTCCTGCTTTACAGGTGAAAATAGAGCAAAAGGACCGCTGAGTCTTTGACTTTATTTATTTTCTGCTGTGTTTTACTTGCATCTATTTGAAAGAGTGAGTGTAAACACACACACAAAAAAATATTTTATGTGCTGGAATGTGCAGAAAATAGGTTTAAATATTCAACTAATTTCTTCAAGTCAGAGAATGGTGCATATAATTTAAATTTTGCTTGATGCATAAAGTCAAAAGATTAAAACTAATAAAAAAAGTAAAAAAAAAAAAAGACTTTTCCATTTGATTACATTTTGTATGATGGATTATGCAGAAAAAGTAGAATTGGGATGAAAGATCTATCGCTTTATCACCTCTTCAGGTTGTAAATTGTGTTTTTAAAAAGTAACTAAGTAATTAATTACTTTTGAAAATAAGTAATCAGTAAAGTAACAGGATTACTTTTTTGGGGAAGTAATCATTAATTAGTTACTGATTACTTTTTTCAAGTAACTTGACCAACACTGGTCGTGAGTGATTGGAGAGTGGCTGGCAGCAAGCAGTGAGTGACCGAAGAGGAAGGAGTGTTTTCCCCCTGTCCTCCCCACCTTGGATCCCCTGGAGCCCATACTCCTGTCACCTTTGTATATAGCACTATTCCCCAAACTGTCTGTACACACACCTGGTGAAAAGTGTAGTAAATGCCACTGTGATCTTCTCAAGTTGAAGAGTCCTGCGTGTGAGTCCTCAGTGAACCGTGACACTGAATATCAGATAAGCATGTCTGCACAGTTGACACTGTGAAACATGCAGAGAAGTAAGCTGCTCTTATTGTGTTTATAAGCAGTCTTTATAATAACTCTACGGTACAGTAGAACCCATCTGACATGGGGAAAACATTTGTGTTACAATCCAGCACCAAGAATTTTGTATCACTGACTGCTGAAACATAACAAGCAGAAAATCCTGGAGAAAAGCAAAACAGGGGGAAATTAAACTCATAGTGAAGTCCATATGAATGAAACTGCTTGTCTTTCCTAGTGTTTGTTAGCTTACTTCATTTCTAACAAAAGCCTCAGGACAGACATATTATTTATTTATGAGATCATCGTTGAACTTTTAGTCTTTTTTTGCAAAACTGATTTAAGTGTGTTTTGGTAAAATTATCCACAACTCAAAGACATCACTTAACTACTTATTGACACGTGTTGAGCTCTGGCCTTTTCCAGAGAACTTCACTGTTTGTTTGTCTGAGTATTTATTGTTTTATTATATTATAAAATCACATCATCAACAAAATGCTTAACAGAATAGGTTACTATACCAGGAAGAGGAAATAGAAGTGTACAGTCATTCTCAGTAAAAAAAACAACAACTGTCAAAACAAACCATGTGCACACTTTTTATTGCAGTGAACACATATACATGAAGTGATTGTGGCCGGCCTGTTCAGAGTCAATAAAAAAGAAAGACCGTCTATGTAACTGTAAGAGTTATACACTTAATCACTCTATACATGTCTAAATAAACAAGTGAACAATGAAGAAGAAACACTGCAACTAAGGCATGCAAGGCACGAGCAACTACAAAAAAGAAAATGTGATGCACAGACAAAAAAAGAAAAAGCAAAGGCCCCCCTTTTTACATAAAAAGAAAGTAAAAGAAGCACATTTTAAAAATAGAGGAGAAAAAAAAGTACAATTAATCTTTAATTTTTGTTTTTACTTTGCCACTTTATTTACAGCTTGTACAAATGTTTAAATGCCCTTGTGTCTGTTACAATTTTTAAATAAACCAAACAAAACAAAAAGATTGCAGTAAATAGACTTTTAAACTAAAGCAGATCATAACCACTGCTGTGCCAGCTAGGCTGTCCTGCAGATATTTGACACTCATGTGGGGGGTTTGTGTCGCTTTCTACCCTAAAATGTGAAGTTCAGCCTTAAAACTTTCTTCATCTTCCAGCTTTCATCTTAACTCCCACATTATTGGTTTAAGTTTTTTTAAATAACATTTCTCACAATGAAAATTGACAGTTGGAGGTGCATTTCTATCTTTTTATAGCCTTTCAGTGGTTTTATTGAAATTATTTTTAAAATGACATGTCTGACCGTGGTTTGTATAGACAGAGGTCTTTAGTGACTCTATGTTGGCCTCCTACTCATTTTGATGAGGCTTTACTGTTATAAAAAATGGAGAGTGGAGCGCTCACATTTTAAGATCTGATCTAAAGGTTCCACTTTGCCAAGAAGGACCTTTATGATACAATAAAACTACAACAAAGTGCAGGTACTAGGGCAGTAGTATTTAGTTACCTGAAAACATTCCTACAATCAAATTTTAGATTGTAGTAACACACATTCATCTGCCTATAAGATTTAACTGCTCATTAACCGAGGGAACCAGAATACAATTCAGGATCCTTCCAGCCCACTTTAACCGCTGGTCATATTTAACATAAGCTTGAAAAACAGTCAAACTTCTTCTTTGGATGTTACCTTTACAGGCTGTGGCTGTAGACACTCACTGCTGTACCTCTCTCCTCACCTCCTCAGTGATATTATTCTGTGTGTGTTTTTTAGGATGAAGCCAAACTATAGATCTTAACTACATTAGAGTTTTTTCTGGTAACGATAAAGGTAGATGTGAATAATCTCCATTTGTCTCCTTTTGTAATACTTAGTGTTTATTAAATACTACTCATGAAATGTGATTACTGATGTTGCAGACATGTGTCTCGTAACCCCAGAGATACACAATGGAGGCACTGATCATGAGTTTTTATTTATAGCTTTTCAGTTCTTTTACTTTAGAGCAGTTTTAACCATTTATTTGTTCACCTAAAACAGTCTTTGCTTTCATAATTTTGACATTGAAACGATGAGTAAATATTCCCTTTGAGTGCAGCTGCCAGTGGTTGTTTCCACATTTATGAAAATCAAGGTTCGTGGAATTTTGTGACTTTTGCACAAACACACTAAAGACAGACAGCATCAACAGTGCAGGGAAAATGTAAATTTTAGTTTCTGAGTGCAGTTTATCCATACTGCACAAACAGAAGGTAAAATGACAGAACATGGGCAGTCATTCCACTTCTTTGTGTCAGTTGTGTGGTTGTCCTGCATCCCAGTAGACAAAATCTACTGCACAACCATCAGACCACATCCAGCTGCCTTCTTTATGGAGGTCAGTAAGGTTTTGAGGAAAAAAATAAACATTTTTATAGCACAGTCTTTAAAGGATTTTATTTCTTCATCTCAGAGTTGAAGTGATTGACTGTTCATGTAAATGGACTGGTTCTTACAGAGTGCTTTACACAACTTGTTTATTCACCCAATCACACAAGCACTTTTTCCTAAGCGCTTCCTAACAGACATTAACACAGCATTCACAGTCTGATGGATGCATCAGAGAGCAACATGGGTTAGTAATTTGCCCAAGAATATTTGGTATGCAGACTGGAGCAGAGTGGGATCAATCAACTAACATTCTGGTTAGTAGATGGCCTGCTCTCCCACCTGAGCTACAGCCACCAAAACGCTGCCAAATGTGGAAACATGATTGTTAAAATCAATGTGTTTTGTGCAGTTGAGCCTGTGTGATTAAAAAATGCCCTCACTGTTTGAGAACTGCATGAAAACTTTTCTCCTGTGATAATTGAGCCAAATCGATTGATAAAAACTGTAATTATACTTGAAGTTATTCTGGGAAGATCAATGAGGAGGTGCATTTTCTACATTCATCCTTATTTGAAATACTAACTGCGTGCTAATGAAACATGCAAGCGCATGTCTGTGACACCAGTTACACGCTTGCATGTTTTCTCATAGGACCTGTAACCCCAGAGTTAAACAGTGGTGGCACTGATGATGAATTTTCATGTTTAATTGTTTTTTCCTTTTTATTTGGAGCAGTTTTAAACATCTATTAATGGGCCAAAAACGATTTGCTTCTGTACAATGCAGCGAAAAGATACATTTCAGTTTCTATGGGCAGGTTATTTGTGTTGCACAAACAGAAGCTAAATTGAGAGAACACTGGTGATCATTCCATTTCTTTACTTCACGCACGTTAGTGTGAACACAGTGCTCTTTTGTTCCACTGTTGTTTGGCTCGCTAGTATCCCAGTAGACAAAACTCACAGCGCAACCATCAGACCACATCCATCTGCCTTCTTTATGGATGTCACTCAGTCCAATCCAGGTCCATCGCTCAGCATGGTCAAAGTTCTTAATTAATGATTTAACAAACTCTTCTTCCTCCCTGCTGTAGATAGACACCAGGTTGGCTCGCTGTGACACACAGTAGAGCTCTGCATCAGCCCAGCTCATGTGTGTGGCCACATATTTGTAGCAGCGGCCATTGAAGCTGTACCAGAACGGGGGACAGTTTCCATGCAGTAGTTGAACTCTGTGGTCATCTGAAGAAGACACAGCAGTCAGAACTCGATGAAAAACAAATAACTGTTTTTGCCAGTGTGACTGACATTTTTTGATGTAACCTCTGAAGAACATCAGAAAAGCACGTCTGCACAGCTGACATGGTGAAAGTTAAAAAAATGCAGAGAAATAAGCTGCTCTTATTATGTTTATTAGCAGGTCTTTATCATAACTCTACAGAATAGTAGAACTTATCTGACACGGGGGGAAAAAAAATCTATGTTACAATGAAACACCAAGAATTTTGTATCACTGACTGCTGAAACAGACAACAGAAAATCTTGGAGTATTTGACTAAATTGTGATTAAGATAATAAAACCCCCCCCACAAAAATAAAGTTAAATAAAGGAGGGGAAGGAAGAGTCAGAATATAGGATGGTTACCATGTTGTAGCTTCACTTCACTGCCGTCAGAAGGAGACTCAGAAGGAGCACCCAGAGCCAGACTGAACAGGAAGAGGAGCAAGATCATGTTGGAGCTTTAAGTCTCAACCTTTGATGAAGAGCTGCTGAAGCTTCTTTGTACAGGATTTCTGCAGAGAGGTGGAGCTGCTTTCTTTTATAGCTGCCTGAGAGGGTGTTTTCACTGATCACTTGTGATATCATTGACCAAATGGAACAAAACTCTCAACTGTAAACATCACTAACACCGGCCAGTAAACACCATCAGATTCTAAAGAAATTAATAATTGCTGAACAGCCACGTCCTCCTGGCAGACTCAGAAGAACGTGACTGTTTTTGTAGTAATAGGATAATAATATACAAAGGCAGAACAAATTCTCAACATTAAAGAGGACTGAGCATCCAGACCCACCCAAACAAGAAGAGGAGCAAGATCATGTTGGAGCTTTAAGTCTCAAAGATGATGAGGAGCTGCTGAAGCTTCTTTGTACAGGATGTTCAGATTCCTGCAGAGTTGGAGCTGCTTTCTTTTATAGCTGAGTGAGAGGGTGTTTTCACTGCTGGTGTGACATCACTGGGCAAATGGCTCAAAACTCTAAACTATACACAATATTTAACATAAGCCAGAAAAAAACATCAAATTTCCAACACATGAAGAAATGTTGTTTGTTTTTTGATGTGTTATTTATATTTATTGTGTCATAAAGGCGTTATCAGCACAATGACTAATCAAACAGGACAGTTCAGAGCTCTAACAGGTAAAAACTCCTGAGTTGCTCCATTAAATAAAGACAGAATGAACTCCACACAATCAAGAGGATCCTCTCTTAGTACTGGACCCAGAGATATGTGACTCTCCTATGGCAGTAAATGACAAAATAGATCAACTATTAGCACCTTTGGTTTAGTAGAATTACTTCACTGTTTGTTTGTCTGAATAATTATGGTTTTACTATATTATAAAATCACATTATCAGCAAAAAGAAAACAGAAAAATGACTGTACCAGGAAGAGGAAACAGAAGATTGTGATCTTTCCAGTTAAAAATACAAAACAAACCCTGTTTAGTTTTTTTTTTTTCATTTAAAAAAGACTGTGTGTTAATTCTTTTTTTACTTTTCCACTTTGAGATATTTACCTTGTATAAAAATGTCTAAGCACTCTTGTGTCTATTACAATTGTAAAGCAGCCAAAATAAAACCCCTGCAGTAACCAGACTAATCTAAAAGCAGATCATTACCACTGCTGTGTCAGCTACACTGTCCTGCAGATATTTGGCACTCATGTGAGAGGTTTGTGTGATCGTCTTAAAGCTTTGTTCATCTGAGCTTCCACCATATCTCTTTACTGAAGTTTCCTGATAACATTTCTAACAGTGGAAACTGACATTTGGAAGTGCACAACTATCTTTTTATAGCCTTCAAGTGGTTTGTACAGTGGCTTGTAAAAGTATTCGGCCCCCTTGAACTTTTCCACATTTTGTCACATTACAGCCACAAACATGAATCAATTTTATTGGAATTCCACATGAAAGACCAACACAAAGTGGCGTACACGTGAGAAGTGGAACAAAAATCATACATGATTCCAAATATTTTTTACAAATAAATAACTGAAAAGTGGGGTGTGTGGGGGTTAACCCTAACCCTAACACTTATTTTAAAGGTACACTTTTATAAATTCAACATGATGTCACAAACTTTGCATATAATTTAAGACCAGTTTCATTAATATACTCTGGATTGCATCAGAAATGAATCTTCTATTATTAATTTTATTAAAGAACAAAACACACCAATGCCATTTACTGAGAAAGTTTCACAGACAGGTAGAGATGGCAGTAGAGGGAAGGCCCTTTTTTGTCATTAAGCTGTGTGTGAATCATAAAATCAGATATAGCTACCTAGCATTAACCGGTTGGCCAACCATAAATACTAAAGCAACAGATTTCATGATGTACACATGTTAATACAAGTCACTCTCTGGTGTCTGCAAACAGCTGAACAGATGTGCTTGTAGTGATTATTTATTGTCTTCTATTGTTGTCTTCTATTGTTCAGCTGTTCCTGGAGATAATTTGTCTCAGTTTATGAGTCACATTGACACAGTCAGCAGAAGAGCAGGTCAGTGCTCCGCTGCTGTTCTCAAATGTTAAACTAGAAGTGTACATGCCAACATAACATCAGGTTAACTGTCTAATGTTGAATTAGTGTCTTAGTTTCTAAGCACAAGCATTGCGTTTTACACAAACAGAGGGATAACCACGAGAGCATGGTTCGTCATTCCACTTCTTAACAGGACCAAAGTTGTTTTGCACACAGTGTTCGTTTTTTTCCAGGTTGTTTGGCTCGCCTGCATTCCAGTTAACAAAACCTACCACAGAGCCATCAGACCACATCCATCTGCCCTCTCTGTGAACATCACTGAGTCCAATCCAGGTGTCTCTCTGAGCACGATCGAAGTTCCTGATCAAGGATCTGACAAAGTTCTCTTCCTCCATGTTGTGGATGGACACCAGGTTGGCTCCCTGTGACAAACAGTGGAACTCTGCATCAGACCAGCTCATCGGTGTAGCTACATACGTATAGCAGCGGCCGTTGAAGCTCCACCAGAACGGGGGACAGTTTCCATGCTGCAGCTTCACTGCTCGGTCATCTGAAAAAGACAGAAACAAGAAGAGGAAAAAGATCATGATTTGTTTTTTAGTAACAGAAGAAACCTGATCTGTACTGCTAATATCCTAAAGGTGAGACCTGGTGTCAGGCTGCTTTTCTGTATGTACTTCAGGGAATACAAAGAAACATTACATATTAGCTTCTCTGCATCAGCTCCCTGCTAAATCCAGATTAAAATTTAAAATCCTTCTCCTCACATACAAGGTATTAAATACTCAGGCTACGTCTTATTTTAAGAGCAATGGAGTGCTTTGCTCTCAGACTGCTGGTTTACTTGTGGTTTTGAGGTTAATTAAAAGTAGAATGGGAGGCAGAGCCTTCCGCTTTAAGCCTCCTCTAATGTGTAATCAGCCAGTTTGGATTAAGGACACAGATAATCAATAATCTACTTTTAATATTAAGCTTTTCTTTTTGATGAGGCCTAAAGTTCCACCAGTCACAGCAAATGGCTGCTCCTGTCTGAGCCTGGTTCTGCTGGAGGTTTGAAACGTGGAACCAAATTAATGCATGTATCCCCAATTATACTAACACATATTTCTCCTGAGCAAAACAAAACAAGAAACATGATAAAGGTGCATTTAAAATCTATTATTTGCTAAATAATATTAAAAAGACAAAAAAAAATGCACAAAAAAAGTTACCAAGTTGGAGCTTTACTTCATTTTCATCAGAAGGAGACTCAGAAGGAGCACCCAGAGCCAGACCGAGCAGGAAGAGGAGCAAGATCATGTTGGAGCTTTAAGTCTCAAAGTGTGATGAGGAGCTGCTGAAGCTTCTTTGTACAGGATGTTCAGATTTCTGCAGAGAGTTGGAGCTGCTTTCTTTTATAGCTGCCTGAGAGGGTGTTTTCACCCCACTCTAAACAATAACACTAAAAATGAGCCAGAAAAATACATCAGAATCAGAATCAGAAAGGGTTTTATTGCCAAATGTTGAGCGGGTTTACAACATTAGGAAATTGCTGCGGTGCTTAGTGCAAACATACTGTCATATAACGCTTAAATAGACATGAAAATAAAAATAAGAATAAGAATTAAAAGTGCTACGTAGAAAGATATATACATGATATATACATGAGTGCAGGTGGTGATCAGTGCCAAACATGGAATGATGCAGTGAACACAGCGTAGGGTCATGTGTTAGTGGTGGGAACAGTCATACGATTATTGTTCATGTGTCCAACAGCAGAGGGGAAGAAACTGTTCTTATGGCGAGAGGTCCTGGTGCGAATGGACCGGAGCCTCCTGCCTGAGGGGAGCAGGTCAAACAGACTGTGTCCGGGGTGAGAAGGGTCAGCTGAGATCTGAGCTGCACGCCTCAGTGTCCTGGAGGTGTACAGGTCCTGCAGAGATGGGAGTCTGCAGCCAATCACCTTCTCAGCAGAGCGCACAACACGCTGCATTCTCTGTTTGTCCCTGATAGTGGCTCCAGCGTACCACACGGTGATGAAGGAGGTGAGGATGGACTCGATGATTGCGGTGTAGAATTGCATCATCGTCCGTGTTGGCAGGTTGAATTTCTTCAGCTGCCTCAGGAAGTACATCCTCTGCTGGGCTTTCTTAATGACGGAGGTGATGGTGGGCTCCCACTTCAGGTCCTGGGTGATGGTGGTACCCAGGAAGCGGAATGAGTCCACAGAGGTGATGAGGGTGTCAGTCAGGATGATGGGGGGGAGTGGGGCTGTGTGCTTCCTGAAGTCCACAATAATCTCCACTGTCTTCTGGGCATTCAGCACCAGGTTGTTGTGGCTGCACCAGGACACCAGACGTTCAACCTCCCACCTGTAGGCAGACTCATCCCCGTCCGAGATGAGCCCAATAACGGTGGTGTCATCTGCAAACTTGATTAGCTTGACAGACTGGTGGGTGGAGGTGCAGCAGTTGGTGTACAGGGAGAAGAGCAGAGGAGAAAGAACACAGCCCTGAGGGGAGCCGGTGCTGATGGTCCGAGAGTCCGAGACATTCTTCCCCAGCCTCACATGCTGCTTCCTGTCCGTCAGGAAGTCAGTGATCCACCGGCAGATGGGATCAGGCACATTCATCTGGGAAAGCTTGCCTCGGAGATGGTCTGGAAGGATGGTGTTGAAGGCAGAGCTGAAGTCCACAAACAGGATCCTGGCGTAGGTTCCTGGGGAGTCCAGATGCTGCAGGATGAAGTGTAGAGCCATGTTGATGGCGTCGTCTACAGACCTGTTGGCTCTGTATGCAAACTGCAGGGGGTCCAGGAGGGGGGCCGTGAGGGTCTTGAGGTAGGAGAGAACCAGGCGCTCAAATGACTTCATGACCACAGATGTCAGAGCCACAGGTCTTTAGTCATTTAGTCCAGTGATCCTAGGTTTCTTGGGGACAGGGATTATGGTAGCGGACTTGAAGCAGGCAGGCACATGACATGCTTCCTCACACCTGCTTCATGAATATGAAGAGTTGTGGTGGGAGGA